AAAATCTTTAAAAAAAAAAAAAAAGAGGAGAAGAGATGGTGGAAGGGATGCAGCTGAGAAAGACTGGGATGGCCACTGCTGACTTTGGAGATGCAGGAAGGGGCCGCCAGCCAAGGAGTGGGAGTGGCCTCGAGAAACTGGAAAAGACGAGACACAGATTCTCGCCTGGAGCCCCCAGATGGAGCCCAGCCCTGCTGGCATCTCGACTGCAGCCCCGGGGAGACCCGTTTCAGACCCTGGGTCTCCAGAACCGCAAGATAATAAATGTGTGTTGTGTTCAGCCACCGAGTTTGTGGCAATTTGTTACAGTAGAAGCAGGAAACAGACACAAAGCACGGACTTGCTGATTCCGTGAAAAGTGTGTCGGTCCGGCCCCGATGAACCCCCAGCAGCGTGGGCCTTGGATCTGAGTGGCCAGTGTCATGGTTAGTCAAAGGGAGGAGAGGGGGGGACCTGAAAGACCTCTTATTTAAAATGTCTTTTCTGCAAGAAAGGGGTCTGCGTTCCATTATGTTTTCAGAGCCCTACTTATATGCTTCAACTCAGTTCTCTAAAGGGCGCAGATCAAATTCGACTCTTCAGTGCCCACCCCTTAGAAGACTGTGTGGCTAAAATGAAAATAAACCGACAGCGGATGTATATTTTTCCTTGCAGCGAAGTGTCTCTTTCCATAGCCAAACCACTCTCTGTTTCGGAGGAACCCTCCAAGGAAACGGGGCCATTTTCGGGTATCTTGGAGGCCGCATATCCTAAAGGATGGCAAAGGGGCGGGGTTGTCGCCAGCCCCCGGGACCCTGGTCAGACCCTGGGGAGGAGGGGGGGCAAACCCGCCGTGACTGTGGGTTCCGTGACCGCCTCTCCAGCTTGCTGACACTCCCACCTGGTGGGGTCATCCCGGTTCCTGCTTCTCACCCCAAAGCAGGGCCCGTCAAAGATGCTGGTGCAAACTGTTCTAGTGAAGGAAGAATAATCCCACAGGCTTCTGGGGGTGAGGCTCATTTCTAATGTCAGGCTGGAAAAGGAGATTTAGGTCCGCAGTCCTTTGTCTGCAAATCCAAAATCCAACAAGGTCTGAACACCGAAGGTTTTCTCATAACCTGCTTGGCTGACTGGCCGTGAGGTGACTCTGCCTTGACCCAGCTTAGTCTGAATACTCTTACAACGTGCGGCAGAAAACAGTGTGCGATTGCAGAGTTCTTCCCCAAAGTGTGCGGACAGGTGTTCCGTACTGTACAGTCCAGGTAACGGATTAGTTTTCAAAATTTCCCCCCAAATCCTGGCTCCCTAAACACACTTGGTGCAAATGTGTACTGTATTAGATTTGTGTTTCTCATAGCATCTTCCTTTTCTTTCTCTTTGATCTCCTAAGAACCTGAAATTTTAAAAAAATGTCTTTTTTTTCCTTCGATAATATTTTCAGTTTAAAATAATGTGTAAATGCCAAAATTGGTGAAAGTTACAACGGGCTGTCTGGGGCAACTGCTGTTTTATCCACGGCACTGACTCCTTTCTAATGAACTGCTTACGCTCTCACCATCTCCCAGTGACCTCGCTGGGGTGGGGGTGGGGGGCTCTCTACTCACTGTCATCTGTGCTGACACCAAGCGAAACAACACTACAGCCCTTGGCACATTTACTCCCCCCATCCCAGGTTTCCTAGAAACCAAAGGTGAAGACACTGCGTGTCTCTGAACGTCAGATAGCAGGCTCAATTCCAACATCTGTTAAATCCATTGACCCTCTAAGCCAGCTGCCAAGGTCTCACTGCCAACATTTAGCTCCATTTAGCTTTGTTTTGTCAGTCACTTGATGGCCTAAAATGTAACAGACGGGAGCCCTCTGGCTCCTCACAGCTCCATCCGTCTCTGCCGGACACCCTCGAATCTTCTAGTAAACAGCCCAAGGTCCAGCTGTGTGAGAACCCAGTGCTGGCCACGAGAAGTTGAATTTATGCTAAAAGAATCTCATTTCTTTGGAACGTTCTGTGGGGGGTCTTCCAGCGTCTGTAAAATATAACCCACTGGGCTGCATTCATCTGGGCAGAATGCAAGGGAAAGACGACTTAACCAGATTATTGGGGGAATAGACTGGACATCCATGGAGTCCAGGCTTCATTCATGATTTTACCCCAATCGCTTTCATTGTGTAGCTGTTCAACCACCACCGCTCTCCCCGGGGGCCGCGTGTCTTCATCCCTGCCCCGTCTACTCAGCAGGATGAAATGCTTTTACCGGGAGAGAAGCTGTCTTTGCGCTCCCCGAGAAACAGACCCCGGGTCAGGATCTGGGGGTAGGCACACTGTTTGGAAGGTGCAGGACGTAGCACTAGGGGATGGGAAGTGAGGCAGGAAAGGGGGGAAGCCAGTGAAGGGTCTGCCATGGCATGCCAGCTACCCTGTGGGCAATGGAGCTCAACCCCATGAGGAAATTTCCAGGCAACGGCGCCCCAGCATTACCCCACCCGGAACGGACGGCTCTTCCTTAAAGTAGCATTCCAATCAAAGAATGTAATATTTACATAAAAAAATAAAAATAGAAATACACTAAAATAATAGATGCATAAATTCCAAATGAGTAAATAAAGGAAATAGAAAACCACTGTTAGGCAAACACCACACGAGTTAATTGCTGCAGGCAAGTCCCAAAGTGTGAGGAGAAATGGGATATTTGCAAGGTCTCAGAGTGTCTCCCCTAAGGGAGTTATTAATTGCAAAGGGGAAAATGGTGCTATTACAAAGGAGAAAGCTGGCAGGCGCACAACTTGAACCAAGGGCTCAAGGTTAATGTCACCAGTCGTAAGGCTTGTTGACAGCACGAGCCCCCTGCTAAGATGCCATCATTCTTGCCAAAAACACATATGCTCATTTTAAACATGGGGAAACCAGACAACCCAAAATGAGGGCCATTCTCAGAAATCACTGACCAGCACTCTTCAAAAACGTCAAGGTCATGACAGACAAGGAAAAACTGAGAAAACTGTCACAGATCGGAGGAGATCAGAGACCCGACAATGAACGGCCATATGGGGTCCTGGATGGATCCTGGAACAGAAAAAGGCCTTCAGTAGAAAAACGCGTGAAATTCAAATTCTTGTTTAACAGGGTCACATCAACGTCAATTTCTGCATCTTAATCGTTGTACTGTGGCTGTGTAAGGTTTCAACATCAGGGAGGCTGGGTGAAGGGAATATGGAAACCCTCTGTGCTATTTTGCAACTTTTCTGTACGTTTAAAATTATTCCAAAATAAAATTTTTTTGAAAAAAAAGATTAGGCCACCTGAGGAGCTGGGGAACTGGAAACTGACACATCAAGCGCCCAGAATCACGGGTTGGGGGCTTCTGGGGCGGGTGGTAATTCACCAGCACTTCCAGCCTGCTGGGTGGGCAAAATGACCTCCCGGATCAGGGGACACATCTATAGATGCTTACTCTGAGGAGAAACATTTTAGGGGCTTCGAGATCTGAGTCCATCACGTCCCTGATGGCACAGCCTTCCCGAACACATGTCCACGTAACCCAAGTAGACGCAACCATTCAACAACGACACCTCCCCTTGCTGAAGGGTACCTGGTGACACATTCTTTGTCAACTTTGAATGTCTGCATCAGGGGCAGAGAATGGAGTCTTCCGGGTACTTTAGAACAAAACTCAAATGTAAAGTTCACTAGATAATGACCAGTGAGTTGAAAACAAAAACAAACAAAGGATACTGCCATGTATCAGTAATTCCACGTCAGCATGTAAGTTCGACCTAAATTTAAATGTAATGCTCTGTGAGGAGCAATGGGTCTTTCTTTCCACTGTAAACCTAGAAACGTATCACTCACTTCATTCGAGAATCCACAGACAGTGCCGTCAACCCACCTCATACAGCACCTACAGGCTCCCAGTTTCCAAAGTTATAGTCTTTTCTTAGGAAAAGTCACCTCTTTTGTGGATCTGATGGTACATTTATTTTGGAAAAGAGGGGGAATTCCTTATACACACTCCCAACCTCTGTTTTAAATTATTGCTTCAGGCCTTCCTGCCAAACCTGTCATGTATAAAGGGACTCATGGCTAAGTGTGTAAATAATTTTTAAAATTCCACTGGTAGTGATTTGGAAATACGAGGGGTTTTCTTTCTTTTCTTTTTTTTCCCCCTGCTAGAGTTACTAAAGAATTTAACATTGTTTTAATTTGGAACACAAGTCGAGTCTATTAAAACCTCTTGTGCCCTGTATATAAAGCTTGAACTTTATATCATCACAAAGCTTTAGAGTATTAAGTAATTGATTTAATTAAACAAGAAATTTCTTTTACCTTGGGCTCCACCCTGTGCACCTAGAAAAAAACAAGGCCATCACTCATGCAGATGTGCTGATGAACAAAGGACTGGGGTGTGCCCCCCAGGTTAGGCACATTTGAGAGTCCTTAATCTCCTTATTTTTATCATAATAGGGTTGCTGATCAAGCAGACATCTGTGCATTGGCTGCCCAGCATCTGTTCATTTTCTTCTGGAAAGGCATCATTTCCCTCTGGGGACCCACTCCCTGCCTAACTCTCAGACAATAGGTTCAGATGGGGCTCCATGCAGCCAGCAGGGAGCCAGGGACTCAGAGCTACAGTGATTGGTTCAGGGGTGGTCATGTGCCTCAATAGGAGCCAATGAGAAGCCACGATGTTGATGAAAACGCTGGGACCAAGGTGCTTGCTCTCCTTAAAGCACTAGAGCTGGGGCTGCTATCTTGTGACCAACAGGGATGAGAGTGTCACTGGCAATGCCCACCGAGAAGAGCCCAAGATGGACTCAATCCAGAGAAAAATGAGAGTCCAAAACCACATTTGATAACATTGTTTAGACGCCTACATCCAACTACGCCCAAAGCTGGCAACTGCAGTCAAATAAGACAATGACTTAGTTTTTGTACTTCACCCTTCTGTCACTTGCAACCAAAACAGACATAAGCCGATTTGTCTGGAAAATTAATAATGCAGCACCATAGTAAGTTTAAAAGTTACCTCTGAGATGCTACCATGTCAGCTTCTCTCTTCAACTGTAGATGCAGCATGAAAGCCGGTGAGGGTTCTCTCAGGGCTGAAGGTCAAGAGCCCTGGGGTCTGGCGCAGGAGTGACATTGGACAGTCACTGCCTCTCTCTGGAACTCAGCTCCCTCCTAAATGACAAAGAGGATAAGATGGTCTTTAAAGTCCCACCTCCAGAAATGGTCTGATCTGTGATTTTAGTGACTGTGAAGAAAGATCATAAACCTCATGATGCCTACACACACACAGACAAACACACACACACATACACACACACAAACACACACCACACATACATGTACACACAAACACATAATACACATGAATACACACAAACGTGTGCACACACATGCCCATGCACATATGTATACACACAGACACACATACGAAGTGTGATCAAAAGAATGATTGGTGAATGTTTAAATTAAAAAATTTATTACAGTAAAAGACACATTGCCATTAATCCCCCTCAAAATCCTCCCCCTGGCTTTGAACACACTTATCCCAGCGTTCTTGCCACTTTCTGGAAGTCCTCTTTCGTGAGTGTCTTTACTTTATCCTCCATCATGACAACGCTCTGTGTCACACATTGCTTCTGGTATATGGCAATTTCTGTCAAATAAAAACATTACGGTGTGTCCTCATCTACCTTATTCACTGGATCTGACACCATGCAATGTCTGGCTCTTCCCCAAAGTCAAAATGACCATGAAAGGTAAATGCTTTGAATTGATTCAGGACATCGAGGCAGCCACGACTGTGCAACTAAAGACACTCACAAAAAAGGACTTCCAGAACTGCTTCAGAAAGTGGCAAGAAGGATGGGATAAGTGTGTTCAAAGCGAGGGGGAGTATTTTCAGGGGGACTAATGGCAATGTGTCTTTTACTGTAATAATTTTTTTAACTTAAACACTGACCATATTTTTTTAATCACACCTCGTACACACACACAAACACACACAATCTCTTCACCAATACACCCCTTTATCCCACAGGCTACCTGAGCCTTCCCTTGTAGGTTTCACCTCTTACTGGAGCCTAAGAACCAGGTGGCCCACTGGACCCCACAACTGAGCAGGGAAAGTGGACATAAAACCTGAGGCACCACTTGCTCATTGATCACCCACAAAATCCCCAAGCCCCATTTTAGGATATCCAGGGGGGAAAACAGCGAACGTGGAAACCCAGTGCTCCATACTGAATTCCTGGTTACTGCTGTGGAAAGTGAAAGAAAGGCTGAACCTCAAGAAAAAGAGTTCTCAGCAGATTACCTGATCAAGAGTAGGTAAATGCCGTGCTCACCTCCTCTCAGGACCACATCAGTTACACTAAACCACAGAACCACCATTACTGAGAACCGCCTGAAGTCTAGCTGAACGAAGCCCTACAACCCTACACCTACAGGCATACAGAAGAAGCCACCTTGAGCTGGCAGGAGGGGCAGAGACGTGGAACAGGCTGGTCCCACGCTTGTGTGTGACCATTGAAAATTGGGAGGGATATCTCAGCGGCAGAGGTTCCCCTCACCCCAAGAAGCGAGGGGTCCCAGCCTCTTCCCAGCACAGGGGTCCAGTGCCAGGGAGAGTAGTGCCCCCATAACTTCTGGCTGTGAAACCCAGCAGAGATTGTGGCTGAGAGAGACAGAGGGCTGCTGGAGTCCCAGGTGTTCCTCCTAGAGGGCCCGCACATGACTTACTCTCTGATGGACTCACTCACTCTGAGCTCCAGTGCTGGGGCAGCCGCTCGAAAGGCGCCAGGGACATACGGGGAGGAACTGAATTGTCTAGCTTCAGGGTAAAGGCTGGAGGGCAGCTTTCTCCCAGACAAGATGTGGGCAGAAGCCATTGTTTTTTTGTTGAGCCCTCCCCCTTCCCAGCATGCAGATGCAGGTGGCCCTGCACATATGCGTCTTCATCACCTGGCTAATGCCGTTCAGTTCATTCGTCATGCCCTGGTGTTTCTGAGACCACACCCCACCCAACTTTTGGACACACCCAAGCCGCTTCCAGCGGCTTTTCTGTATAAACGGTCTGCCTTGGCTCAAGCCGCAGACTTCCCTAAAATCTCTCAAAGGTTCACCAAACCCAAGCAAGCAGCACATGGCTTCGGCGCATCCTGTACCTCCGGCTGAGCAGCCCTAAGCCTGGAACTAGCGACAGCTGGCCTTGTTTTGAGGCTTGGCCTCTCAAGGCACCTCCGAGCACCGTGTGGGTGGGCGGCCATCTCTGGATCACTCTGTGGCTCCTGCCAGGTGGCCCCGGGCAGGGCACAGACTGCAGCTGAACTTGGCCTGCAGCGGTTCTTCTCCCAGGAGGGCCCAGGGCTAGCAGGCCAGCTTCGAACTGGGCTGGAGCATTGCCCGGCCACTTCCAAGGATTTCACATCCATAGGGTGAACTGGACAGGCACCAGAGCCCTGCTAAAGCCAACGCTGCTCCACAGGGTCAGCCCCTGCACCACAGCGCCTCCACTGTCGTCACAGCCATTCCTCATAACCAATCAGCCTGAGGGCCAATCCCTCCCACCAACGTGCAAACAGCAAGCAAGGCTCGACTACAACCCATAATCCACACAGGGGACACACCTGGAGCACCCGGCTCTGGTGACCAGGGAGGCTGTTCTCCTGGGTCCCACAGGACACCTACTACATAAGGCCACTCTTCTAAGACCAGGAGGCATAGCAGCCCTACCTAATATAGAGAAACAAATGTAAGAAGGCAGCCAAAATAGGGAGACAAAGAAACATGTCCCCTCCCCACCCCCCACCACCCCCCCAAAAAAACCCAGAACAAAGCTCCAGAAAAAGAACTAAACAAAATGGAGACAAGCAGTCAACCAGGTATAGAGTTCAAACCACTGGTTATAAGGATGCTCAACAAGCTCAGGGAGAACTTCATCAAAGAGATAGGAAACATAGAAATGGAGATAGAGGGCCGGCCGAGTGGCGCGATGGTTAAGAGCTGGCTTGGGACGCCAGAGGGCCCGGGTTCGGATCCCACATATGAGGGCCAGTGACACTGCTCTCCACAGCTACGATGCTGAACAACAGCTCAACCTGGAGCTGGGCTGCTGTGGGTCGCCGGCCACGGCGTAGGCTGCAGCCCCTGTGGCAGTGGGTTGCCATGGGCTGCCGTGTGTAGCCAGCAGCCAGTGTGAGCAGCCAGCAGCCAGCGTGAGCAGCCAGCAGCCAGTGTGAGCAGCCAGTGTGAGCAGCCAGCAGCCGCCGTGAACGGCCGTCCAGAAGCCGGCGACTGATGTGCCTCGCCCGGGAAGAGCGCAATGATGGTGCCAACTTGGGCCAGTGAAGCAACGTCCTCCACAACTAGACTGAAGAACAAAAGGACAGCAACTTGTCTGTTCCCCTTCCCCCAATTCCCCAGCACTGTTCCCATCCCCCCAATTCCCCAATAAAAATCTTAAAAAAAAAAGTACAAATTGGTAGTTACAAAATAGTCAGGGGGATGTAAAGTAAAGCATAGGGAATACAATCAATAACATGGTAATAATCATGCATAGTGCCAGGTGGGTACTAGTCAGGGGGATCACTTCGTAACTTAAGTAAGTGTCTAACCACCGTGTTGTACACCTGAAATTAATATAAAATAACACTGAATGTCAACTGTGATTGAAAATTTTTAAAAGGGGGAAAAAGAAAAAAGAAAATGAGAGGCCCAAAGTTCCAGGTATAAAACAAATAAATCATGGGGATGTAATGTACAGCACAGGGAATATAGTCAATAGTATTGTGATAGCGTGATACGGTGTCTGATGGTTGTTGGATTTATGATGGTGATCACTTCTTTAGGTCTATAAATGATGAATGTGGTGTGCACCTGAAACTAATATAATATTGTATGTTTGCTACATTTTAATAAAAATCTTAAAAAAAAAAGAGTTCTCCTTCATAAGCAATAAGTCACAGCACATTATGACTACTGACAGTCAAGCCCTTCCCAGCTGCTCTCTGGTTGTCCTAACTCTGGTCCTGTTTGTACAATAGATCCAACAACTCTAGTCCTAAAAACTTCCCAGTCTTTAAATACATGTTTTGCACAGAATGATCTCAAAAGATGTCAGTAAGGGTGTTAGAAAACTCCTGCTTTAAAGATTTTTAAACTGAGGAAAGTGATAATAGAAGGATATTTTCTCAAACACACACACACACACACACACACACACAGCATGTAAAGTAAATCCTCGCTAACATCATCGGCACGTTCTTGGAAACTGCAACTTTAAGCAAAACGGTGCATAATGAAACCGATTTTACCATAGGCTTATAACATAAATAAGAGTTAAGTTCCTACGGCATATTTCTGGTCACAAAGACATCACTAAACTTCTAAGTAAAGACCCCAAACACTTCTAATACGAAACACTGAAATGAATGTGAGCTATGCATACATTTAAGAAAGACGAACCAGAACAAGGAAGATTGTCCACCTTATTCCAGCTCAGGGTCGCAGGTGTCTGGAGCCTCTCCTGGCAGCTGAGGGTCTAGGGGGGACCACCCTGGACAGGATGCCCTTCCATGGCAGAGCCACTCACACACACACACACACACACACACACACACACTCATGGGGACAGTGCAGACACGCCATTCATCTCACTGCACATCTCTGGGCAGAAACCAGAGTCCCTGGAGAACGCCCACGAAGACACGGGAAGAACACGCCAATTTCACACAGACAGTGGCCCCGACTGGGAATCGATTTTTTTTCTCATCAGCATCATATGGAAAAGATTTTGAATGAGACGACGTTATTCGAGGACATGCTATAGCTGCGTCGGGTGTTAGATACACACCAAATATCCTGCAAAGAGCCCACTGCGTGCTCAGGTGGAACCCCCAGCCTGCATATGCAGCCCCCCACACACTCCCCTTCAAGCTGCCTCTTGGCCATCCCTCAGGTCCGGGGACACACCCCTCAGGTCCCAGGCTTGAGCCATTTGGGCTGGGACTCTGGGATCCCAGGTACCAGGAGTTGTCTGGGGCCAGAGCTGGGATGAGGGCGAGGCGGGAACCCCTGCATTTGCACCCCCTGAGAGTGAGCGCCTCCTTGAACTTGCCCCCTGGGCTCTCTGGTCTCACCCGTGGGCCTCAGGGGCCACTGTCAGCTCTGGGTGG